TGTACGTACGTACGTGCACACGCACATTTATACGTATGATTTTTGACACATAATATATATTTACGGGTGCATATATATTTAGGTGTGCAAGTACATTGAGAATTCCCAAAGAAAATTATCATACAATTAACAAAATAAATTTACAACGTATACAAAATACGTAAAAATTTTTCAAGATGTCTAGTTATTTACTTTTGTTCAAGCAATAAATACATTACGATTATGTTATATGTATCTAAGTAGAACATTATTTAGGCTAGAGCGTGATTAAATAGTATTTTATATCTAAGCATATATACCGGATATAGTTGCAGCGATGTACTATCACGTAAACTGCGTAGGGAGGACTGTCATGCGTTGCTACGACGTGAGCTTAGAAGCCGCGTAAATATGGCTGCAACAATAGCGAGCGGTTAGTATTGTCCAGTGTAATGAGCACACATGATGATCGTGATTGTTCTTGTTGGTGTACGGTGATGAAATCCATGTGTCATCGGCGAGGATGAGCGAAAGAAAGTTTACCCGTGGCCTGGGTAAACCGGGCATGGCCGCTCAATTACGAGAGACCGTCTCACAGGTAGTACGCGAGAGCACCGTACAGGTAGGTATCTTTGGCACGATGCATTTTGCCGCTTAATTTTCTGTAGACATTTTTTTTTATCGTCTCTCGAACAGTAGGTACGCAACAATTAATAATAATGAAGATATATTTCCCTCATGGTCATTTATCAGGATCTTTTTATAATATCATTAATTCATCATTCTTGATAATTGTTTTTGATTAAATGCAGAACTAATTATAAATATTTGGAGCCGAAGAAGAGTTAGATTTATCTTTTATTAATGTTTTTCAAATGACATTTGTTATTTTATTTTTTTTATAACAGTCTTAAGACGTTAAGTTTTGGTTATTTTAAAGATGATTTTATTCACATTGAACATGTCCATTTATAGTATCTTGCAATAGTTTCTTGAATTAAGAAGAATTTATACTAATTTTAAAAGAAATTTATTATTACTGTCATAACAAGTATTAAGAAATTAATATTTATTTTTGAAAATTTATATTATAAGTTTTAATGTATATAGATTACATTAATTTTTAATTACTTTAATTTATTATTATTTATATTAATATAAATGTCTTTATTTCAGAACAAACCACATTTAGTAGAACCCATAGATTTTGAAAATTTTGTACTAAAAAATAAAACTTTATTACAAAATGACCCTCAAAGAGAACTTCTACTATATCCTCAAGATGATGTTTCAGTGAGTTTTAACTTATTTTTTGCCTATTTAGAAATATTGCATGGATAGATAAATCATCAGATAGATTCATGCACAGGATGTTTGTAATATTACATAACTTTTAAAATCTATTCTTAAATTAATATTTAACGTAAAATTCTTTTGTTTTTAAAATTTATCGTTTAAAAAATTCAGTGTTTAATTTAGTATCTATATATGTAATATATAATAATTTATGCATATTAATATATAATTTAAGAAAACAATAATATATATTTTTAATTTTAATACTGAAAAAGTTATTAAAAAATAAAATTAATTTTTTATTTTTTAAATTAAATTCTACTTTATATTAAAAATTAATTATTTTTATAATTGTTTTGATATATTTTTTCCTAATATAGCAAGTGGTATTACCTAGAAGGTACCGTACTTTAGTACCGATTGTGCCACAAATTTCAAGTAATGAGGAAGGAGAGAATCTACTTACAAAAGAATGTTTAAGAAGTTATACATCTAATTGGAATCTCATACATTACAAATATTCAGCATACAGTGGAACTTATCTTGAATTACCTAAGTATATTTTTATAACTGTATTTGTAATGATGTCTTTACACATGATCATATTTCATATTTACATTATTATCAAATATCCTATTATTTGATAAAAATTAAAATATATTGTTGCAGTTTACATATATTTTTTTACTTTTTAGAATAGCAAAGACAGATGATCTAAAAGATGAAGTGTATGAAATTGATACAGAAGTAGATCAGGTTGATGAGGTAAGACAATATGCTTCTAACATAAATCTTATAAATGAATTATAATTGTTGAATTACAATTAGTGTTTTTCATTCACTTGCACTTTTATTTGGTTAAATAAAATTTAGATATTAAATACATTATTTTTTATTTATTTAAATACATTTTTAAATACATTATTTTATCATATATCACATTTTATACAATATTATATTTATAATATATATTTTATATTGTACTAAGTGAGTCAATAAGAATATTCATCTGAAATAACTTGTTTTCTAATAATTTTATTAAAAAAATTTAAAATTTATTACATTTAAAGACATAGATGGACAATCTAAAGACAAAGATATTCATTAGTAAAATCAAATGAATATGTTTTGATTTTTTTTATATTTTACATTTTCAAAAATATTAAAGACCTTGAGATTTTTAAATGACACCATATATTCTTTTTTACAGTATTATAACTGCTGAAAAGATAAATTCAACAACCTATAATATAATGACTTTTAGTTGACTTTAAAATACAACATAAAAATCTGTAGATTGTTCATATATTACTTATCTTCAATGTTTCATTCAGAGTAGATGACAGTCTATTTCTCGATATTTTTAAATTTTATCAAAATGATGTATGAATGGCTTGCAGTGTATTAAACGTAATTTGTCTCCAAAATCTGATTATTTGCAACCGCATGTTTTTTGATGTCATTGCATCCCAATAGATTGCCTTATTGTTCCTCAAAAAAAATTTAACAGGATCAAGTTAAGAGAACGCGTGAGCCTACTAAGGAATGGGACTACTTCGCCCAATCTAGCGGTTTGGAAATAACTTATTAATTGTTTTTCTGGATATTCACGCATAGTATACAGGACAACCTTTTTAAAATAGGATACTTAATATATATTTGAATAATTTCTCTTTTAAAAAATCAACGCATTTGTTAGTAGTTAGGGTTTCATCGATAAAAAAAAGGGACCAATTATGGAATCAACTACAATTCCACATCATTGACATTCCATTGTTAGCGGATTTACCAGAGTTATTGCGGATTTTCCACTGACCAATAATGCATATTCTATTTATTTACATTGCCAAATTTATCATAGATTTTTGTGTCATTTCTCAAAATACAACTGTCAATCATCATATTAGATTGTTGAATTCGTCTTTTCAGTGGCTATAATACTATACCAAAAAATATACTAATATTCAATGTTGATTTTCTTGAAAATAAGGATTTGAATGAAAAAATGTTATTTTTTTTTTTGACTCATTTTTAGATGTAGAATCACTTACCTGATGGTTATTTACGAGTTACGGGATATTCTGTACATTTCTGTAAATTTTTGTAAAGATATTTTAATATTTTAATATTAGTTTTTTTCATATAATTTTGCTGAAAAATAATTTTAGGTATCACTTTTATAACGTTTATCAAATCCATCTATTACTGTTATTGTTCTGGACATACGAAAAGTTAAATTAATAAATTTGTAAGAGAAAAATAAGAAGTTAAAATAATTTGTCCAATTTTATTAGGAATTAACAAAAAGTAATGGAATAACAAAGGAGGGCTACTTAATGAAAGGTCCAGAAATTGGTAGTAGTGATCGTATGTTTGCAAATATTGGTTCAAAATCATTCAAGAGAAGATTCTGTCATTTACGACAAGAAGTTGACGGCACATACATTCTTGAGCTTTTTAAGGATGAAAAGAAGGGTGAAGCTAAACTGACAATAGTAATGGATTTTTGCACTGAAGTTGTTAGGAATCCAAAACGTGGAAGATATTGTTTTGAATTAAGAATGAGTGGGACTCACAAATCATATACTTTAGCAGCAGACAATGAGACAGATATGCAAGATTGGTTATTAAAATTAAGTTCAGTATTACAACATTATAAACAACAAGAAGAAAAACGTGCTGCTTCATTAGAAAGAGCATGCAATACACCTCCTCCTTCTCCTCAACCTATGCAGGTAAAAATAAACATTATTTGAATTTGTTGTATTATTTGAATATTTTAAATTAATTTTTTCATATTTTTTGTAGGTTTATGGAACACTCAAAGGCTTGGAACAAAGCATGAATCCACAATTGATAAAATATTCTAGGGAAACAGATACTAGTATAGCATTAGCGAGGCGAGAAAGTCGTAAACAACTGTTTAATATTTACCCTCATATTGCACATAATAAACAACAATCAGGCAATAATAATGAACAGAATATTGATCCATACAGAGAACAATTTGGACAGAGAATTTTTGTAAAATGTGAAAGTCTTAAATTTAGATTACAAGCACCAATAGATGAAAAGGAATCATTATGTCAAGTGGAACCATATCAAACTACATTAAGTCTTTATGATGCAAGAAATGGCAGAAAATTAACTGAGAATTTTCATTTTGACATTAATCATGAAGTTGTTCAAGAAATGGTAAAAGAACTAAGTCCTGTAGGAATTATGACAGAATCTACAGAAAATATTAAATTACCAAATGATTTGAAAACTATACCATTAGATTGGATTAAATATCCAAAACAGGTTTGGTCTTTCTTTTCTTTTTTCAAATTTTTGATAATAATATTAATATTATTGTGCGATTTATTAATAATAATATATTAATAATAATATAATATATACTTTTGCAGGCCATATTTAGTATTAGTAATCCTCACCCTGACATATTCTTGGTTGTAAGAATAGATAAAATATTACAAGGAAATATATGTCAAACTTCTGAACCATATTTAAGAGCTACAAAAGATCCACGATTAGGTTTAAAAGTACATAAACAAGTTAGAGCATGTTGTCAAAGGTAAATTTTGTATATGATTATATTTTTATCCTATACTTTTCTACACATTGAGAAGTTTTAATTAAAAAGTTATAAATTTCATAGATTGGGAAATTATAGAATGCCATTTGCTTGGGCTGCTAGACCACTATTTAGATTATACAGTAACGAATTGGATACATCATCAGACTTTCCTGCAATATATAGGCAGGAGGGAAATAAAATAAAAGATGAAGAATTACTCAAACTTCTTTCAGAATATAGAAAGTATGCATTACAAAAACATATAGTAAGTTATACATGATACATATTTTGATATTTTCTATTATAGGCCTGAAAAACTTAGTAAATTGACTGTGATACCTGGTTGGTTGAAAATAAAAATTGAGTCAGTTACAGATTTACCTGACAGTATGTATCTAAAAAATAACATCTTTTATAACGTATTTAGATCTAAATAACAAAATTTATTTTCTTTTTCTTTATAGATACATTGTTTACATCTTTAGCAGCTTTAAAACCATTTCCATTACCGCCAATATCTGAAGCAACTCTTGAGATTGCAGAATTTGAAAGTACTTCAGAGAAAGATGTTCATCCATACACAACTTATATTAATCATCTTTATGTGTATCCGCAAACTCTCAGCTTTGACACTCAAAAAATATTCACTAGAGCTAGAAACATTGCATGTATTGTTGAATTACGAGACGATGATTGCGAAAATGCTACACCTTTAAGAGTATGTAAAATATAAATTATTTCACAAAGTATTAAATTATAGCTAATATTTTTTGAATGTTTTTCTAATAGTGTATATATGGAAGACCTGGTGCTCCACTTTTATGCTTACGAGCATCTTGCGCAGTTTTACATCATAATGCAGTTCCTTCTTGGTATGAAGAAATTAAAATACGACTTCCATCGAAACTTCATTCCAAGCATCACTTACTTTTTTCTTTTTACCACATAAGTTGTGATATGAATAAGAAAAAAGAAAATGGTATTGAAAATTGTGTTGGTTATGCTTGGTCTCCATTATTGTATAAAGGAAGGTATGATAAATTTAAAAATTATATAATGTATAATTGTAATCGTATAGTATATAAATATAAGAAATGTAATCTTTAATTAAATTTTGTACTACTTGTTATTCTGTGTGCGTGTGTATTTGTGTATTTATATATATATTTATATGTAGTAATTTTGTATACTATATATAGATTAAACGTGGATATGGATATGAATATACAAGTACTACCTGTAGCAACACATTTACCACCAGGATATCTTTCAATACAACCTCTTGGACTAGGAAAAGGGGTAAAAATAAAATGAAACATTTATATTTTATTATTTTTGTAAAATAATATAATTATTTATAATTTTTTGGTTCTAGAATGCTGGACCGGAAATTATATGGGTTGATTCTCAACGACCAGTATTTACAGTAGCGTTTCAGTTGATTTCAACTGTTTTTACACGTGATGTACACTTGCATAATTTATTTGCTCACATGGAACGCATCCTAGATACAAAACTAGGAGTAGTACCAGCAGATTCGGAAACATGCAAAATATTAAAAGCTGCTCATGCAGTACAATTAGTTACAGTTATTACATTTCTTCCTACTATATTGAATCAGCTATTCGCATTATTAATTTGTACTACAAATGAAGAAGTTGGATTGTATATTATAAGAGTTTTAGTACATTTTATAAATATGGTGCATGAAGCTGGTAGAAAAGAAATACTTCAAGCTTATATTAAGGTAAATATTACTAATAAAATTGACTAACTTTATTAGTAAATATTATATTATTATATTTTATAGTTTGTTTTCGTGCCACCCTCTCAAGGAAACGGTATTGTAACAGTTCATGAACAACTAGGGAAACATCTTCCTATATTATTGCAACCAAGTAATACTGACTTTCTAGTAGTAAATAAGTTTATGCATCATTCCAGTTTCTTTTTTGAGATAATGATTAAAAGTATGGCGCAACATTTGCTTTCGACAGGAAGGATAAAAGTATGTTTATAATAATAATGTAAATAACATCTAAAATATAATTTGTGAACAAATATAAAAATATTAATTAATTATTAAATAATTAATTAATATTTTTTACAGATGCATAGAAATGAAAGATTTTCAAAAGAATACCATGAAAAAATTCGAAGTTTAGTGGATGTTATTATGCCTTATCTCATGAACAAATATAAAGAAATGCCGGTTGAAACACATGAATTAAATAAAAGTCTTGCACAATTTTTAAAAGTAAGTAAATGTATATATTAAATTTAAATTTTATAAAATTAAAAGTAAATTTTTTTTTTATAAACAAAGATAATAAGGATGAGATAATTAACAAGTTTCATTTTATGTTATAATTATTAATAATACTTCATTATATATGTTAATTTTTTAAATATTCCTTATTAATTTTTCATATTTTAAAATAGCGATGTCTTACATTCATGGATCGAGGATTTGTTTTCTGTTTAATAAATTCGTATATGGACAACTTCTCTCCTGGAGATCAACGTACACTACATGACTTCAAATTTACATTTTTGCAAATAATTTGTTCACATGAACATTATATATCTTTCAATTTACCAATGATGCATTCTCGAATTACTTCAAGAGGTAAAATTAAATAATTATACTTACTATTATACTTAATATTTAAAATTTTGTAAATATAATCATTTTATGCTTTATTTAGAAGATACAGAGAGTGATCCAGAATGTGATGGTATGTTAAGTCATACACTCCCATTTTTGTTACGATTTATTATTGTAGCCATAGTGAGTGGGAGTTGTATACTATTTTCTTGTTATCATTATCAATCAGTAGATGTTTAGAAAATACTTTCATAGTATTCTTGTTTGTTGCTACGCAAGCCTGTTTCATTAAAATGCACTGAAAATTACTAAATGGAATTTAGTAATATTAAACAGTTTTGCAGGATGGACACATTGTAAAATATAATAGCAAAATAAATATCGATACAATCGAATCAATACAATCGAAATAGAGATAATTTTATATGAACAAAAAATTTGTTATAAAGCTTTTCCAATGTTTCGTTTTGAAGAAAATTAAGTTTGAAAATTCATGAAATAATTAAAATGATTAAAAGAAGTTTGGCTATCGTACTCTATCCTTGGTTATTTTTGACCGTTGAAAATATAATTAAAATGACATAACAGATGTTTGTGAAATATACATTTTTTATTGTATTACAAGTACTAAAAATAGAAATGTTATCCTCGTTAGTACATACATACAGAATTCGATTCGATGTTAAGGACCAATTAAGGACAAATTAGCAAATTCTAATGTACTTTTGTTTTTTATCAAATTATTGCATTATCTTTTAATTGCATAATACTATTATCATTTAGATTGAATAACTGTTCTTTCATATCTCGTGAATTTTCAAATCCGATTTTCTCGGAAACGAGGCTGCAGATGAAAAAATTTTATATTTATTTTAATTTATTATTTATTTTTTTATGTAGAATCGTCTTCAATGCAATTGTACTATTTTCTTTATGACTCACCCTGTATATGAGATTTACATATATTCACATTTATCATATTTATGTTATATTTTTATGTGAAATCTTATATTTTTATCTTAATATTCATCACTTAATGTTTTATCTTAATATTTTAATGCAAAAGAATTGCATGAATTTGCAAACATCTCATAAAGTTACAATTACAGTTAGTAATATTAATCGATAGGTAATTTTAGATAAAAGATAGTTTTTTTATTTTATTAATTAATTATGAAATAATCAACAATTTATAGCAAACTAATAAAAAAACTTCATTTAAGCTATTTTAATTTCGTTTAAACTTTTTTCGTTTAGGTGATATCTGTATGTGCATATTTTTCTATTTTCTAAAATTATGAAAAATGAAATAAATTCATTAATTTGAAATATTCATTACAGATTTAATAAATGAATATTGTTTGTCAGAAGATTTTTGCAAACATCATTTCTTAGTTGGACTATTAATGCAAGAAGTTAAAACTTCCTTAAATGAAATTGTACAAATTCGTAAAGTGGCAATAGCTACATTAAGAGATTTAATGGCAAAGCACGAACTTGATGATAGATATCAGAATAAGGTACACTTTTCTCTATATTTTTAATATATAATATTATAATATATATAATATTATATGTTGTTATATTATATTATATATTGTTATATTATATTATATTTTGTTTTAATATAAGTAATATTTCTTAAGTAAATATAAATATTTCGATAAATTTAATCTTAAAATAATATAATTTTATTATTATAGGGTCAATTAAGTAGAATAGCATCCATTTATATACCATGGTTAAGTATTGTATTAGAAAATCTGCATCGGTTGCAATCAATACATGATAACAATAAGACAGAAATTAAACAAAATGGTATCAACAGAATATCAACTAGCAGTTCATTTCTGGCAAATAAAGATACTGTCAGTACTACTGCGACCACTGGAACTCCAAAGTCAATACATAGGTAAACAAGTTATAAAATATATGTGTTTAATATAATTATATTTGTATAATTGTTTAAAAAATAAAGAAAATAAGAGAAACAATTATATAAAAAAATATATGCAGGCTTACATTACATTTGGAGACTCAATCTCCAATAAGGGCATCTATGCATTTACGAGATTCTACGTACTTCGCAGCCATAGCAGGCCAGGGATTAGTTAATGGATATTCTTGTACTAGCATAGAATCAGATACTTCAACAATATCTGGTATTTCTCAATCGAATATATCACAAGAAACTACTATTGTTCGTGAACCTACCGAAAATGGTACTGGAGAAAGAAAAAGACATTCTCGTTCTTTAAGTGTTACACAGTCATCACCTAGATGTGATAAATTACAATCATCAGAAGTTAAAGATATTTTACTTTGTTTTCTGTTTGTAATAAAATATTTAGGTGATCATCAAGTTATTGCTTGGTGGCAACAATGCAGTGACTGTGAAATTTTAAGTTTCTTTACAATAATAGAGTAAGTTAATATCGAATTGAAGTTATTTTTAATATGGAATAGCTGTTATTACGTTCATCTCTTATTTCAGAATGAGCCTTCATCATTTTAAATATGTTGGAAAAAGACAAATAGCTACAAATATGACAAATAATTCTGGAAAACCTCGAACAGTGAAAGCAATGACGCTACCAGCCAGAATGGCACCTCCTGATTTTTCTAATGAAGGACCCATTACTAGTACTTTGCAACCACATAATACTACTGTACGAGAAAATCTTGTTGAAAGTGACAGTGGAAAAATGCATCAAGCTTTGTTAGAAGCGAATATGGCGACAGAAGTTGGTTTGATTGCATTGGATTGTTTAGGATTATTTTGTATTCATTTTAAGGTACACAAAAAATTTTGCTAAAAAGAAATATACATTGTATTTAATTTTTCTTTTTTGAATAGGATGTACTTTTAACAACAGATGGTGATAATCTCATAATGCAAAAAGTATTTAGTATATACTTGTCATTTTTGCAAGTTGGACAATCTGAAACTTTATTACGACATGTTTTTGCCAGTTTCAGAGCTTTTCTAAATAATTATTCTATAATTCTGTTTCAAGGTAAAAATTAATAATTGTATGTGATTTTTTTAGATAGAAATAAAAAAAAGAATTAAATACTTAAGCAGTTATATTATAGTTATATATTGTAAATTTTAATTAATTGGATATTACTATTTTTATAGGAAATGCCGTTTTATGTGGACGTTTATGTTACGAATTATTACGTTGTTGTAATAGTAAGTTAAGTTCTATTAGACAAGAATCTTGTGCTTTACTTTATCTTCTTATGAGAAGCAATTTTGAATTTACTAGTAGGAAGGGTTTAACTAGGGTTCATTTACAAGTAAGTATCTTAAGAAAATATTAATTTAAAATAATAACTCTATTTTAAACGTGAATATATTATATTTATATTTACAAAAATAGGTAATAATATCTGTTTCGCAAATGCTTGGAAACGTTATTGGATTAAATAATTCAAGATTTCAAGAATCGTTATCATTAATAAATAGCTATGCTTCTTCTGATAAAGTGATGAAAGGTACTGGTTTTCCAGTAGAAGTTAAAGATCTTAATAAAAGAATTAGGACCGTTTTAATGGCCACAGCTCAAATGAGAGAACATAATAATGATCCCGAAATGTTGGTGGATTTACAACATAGTTTGGCTAATTCTTATGCCAGTACACCTGAATTGAGACATACATGGTTAGAAACTATGGCTAGAAATCATGCAAGAGATGGGAATTTTTCAGAGGTATATATTTTTAAATGTTTTAAAACAATTTATTAACTTTAATTATAATACTATATTTTTTAGGCTGCTTGTTGTCAATTACATATTGCCGCATTGATAGCAGAATATTTAAAATTGAGAAAAGTTCATACATGGGGAGCAGAAGCCTTTGATAAGATTTCTGAAAACATTTCTAGAGATGAATGCAGTCTTAAACTTGATGCTGGTGAGATTTGTATGTTTTGCACATGTTTGTATTATGTATTACGTTTTTATTACTTTTAATTTTCTTTTTTCTTTTCATTTAATTTTCTTTTTTCTTTTCATCTATTTCTTTACTTACTTCTTTACATGATAAATGATATATAATTATAGTTATTGGAATTTATTAAAATTATAGCATTTTTATTTTTAATGCATTTTTTAATTTGAGCTTTGATTTAGACTAAAATTTTCTAATGTTGATGAATTACTTGAAAATGAATTATTTTTTTTTAGATAAAAGTTTATATAAAAGTTTGTATCTATAATATTATTTTAGGTGTGCAAGATATTCATTACAACGAGTATATACTTCTTGAACAATTAGAACTTTGTGCTGAGATGTTAGAAAAAGCAGAACGATTTGAACTTCTTGGACATTTGTATAGATTAATAGTTCCTATACATGAAGTAAAAAGAAATTATGAAGCTTTAGCAAATTGTTATTCCCATTTGGCACAAGCCTGTAATAAAATTGTTGAAGTTACAAAGTCCGGAAAAAGACTTCTTGGAAGATTTTATAGAATTGCATTTTTTGGTTTGGTAAATATTGTTAATATACCAACATAATATTTTATTACGTTTTATTACATTTCGTGTATATAATATAATAATAATAATGTAGTAAGTATAATATAGTGTAATGATATAGTAATTATGCTTTTAGGCATATTTTGAAGATGAAAACGGACAAGAATATATTTATAAAGAACCAAAAGTTACATCTTTATCTGAAATTTCAGAACGTCTCCATCATTTATATTCTGAAAAATTCGGCTCAGAAAATGTTAAAATGATAATGGATTCTATACCTATCGATATAACTGAACTAGATCCAAAAATAGCATATATTCAAGTAACACATGTTACACCTTATTTTGAAAAATATGAATTAGAAACTCGACAAACAGAGTTTGAACAAAATCATAATGTATCATGTTTTATGTTTGAAACTCCATTCACTAAAGAAGGGAAAGCAAGAGGTATTCCAGAAGAACAGTGGAAACGTAGAACAATACTTACAAGTAAAAAATTTATTTCGTTATATATCGTACTATTTCTAAATATATACTTGATTAGATATATAATATATAATATTACATATATTGTATTTCAGCACAATATTCTTTCCCATATATTAAAAAACGTATTCTGGTAGTTGAAAAACGAATAATGGAACTGAGTCCAATTGAAGTCGCTCTAGATGAAATGCGACAGCGTGTCCAAGAATTAGAAGATGTAGCTCTTATAGGTCCAACAGATGTAAAAAAATTGCAATTAAGATTACAAGGAAGTATATGCGTTACAGTAAATGCTGGACCACTCGCATATGCTTCTGCATTTTTAGATCCTGCACTTTCTCCACAATATCCAGATGATAAAGTTGAAGAATTAAAAGATGTCTTCCGGTATGTTCCTTAAAATATATTTCATATACTGTTGTTTCAAACTGTTGTTTTTTCAAAATATATTGAATATATCGAATATATTATATTAATTCTTACTTAAAATTTATTAATTGAAATTATCTGATTTTCAGAGAATTTGTTAAAATATGTTATACAGCTTTGCAGATAAATAGCAAATTAATTACATCCGATCAATACGAATATCAAGAAGTATTACGAGAAAATTATCAAAAGCTTTGTCAAAATTTGTCGTCATTACTTGGAGAACCTATTTGGCCTGATGAACAAATTGGAAATTTTAAACGTAATAGTGCTGCTTTATTTAGTGCTATCAGTGGTGCTAGTAATCATACAAGTACAGCTTAAAATAGGAGAAATCATTTGCAATTGAAGTAGCTTTATTTTTAATATACTTTTTCTTATAAATGATTGATAACAAATTGAGTTATATTAACCCATGATTAATCTACATATATATGCTCAAAAGTACTTTCATTATAAATGATGAATTAATAAATATTGCCATTATAATTGTAAGCAAGTACATACTACTACGTACTACATCTACTTAAATTTTTTAATTGTTATAATCAAATTTATTTCTTTTTATAGACTATGAGTAATATTATATATCATTAATTTTTTTATCACTTATTGACGAACAAGTAAGCTTTTTTATTTAAGATTGGATCCATATTATATAACAAAAAATATTGTATAACAAATTTTTATAACTTATTAGTATAGATCTATATTAAATAACAAAACACTATGTATAACAAATATACAGGAAAAATGTTATATCTTGCTGTAATTGTATAATATTTTTGATTTTCTAACAAGTTATATAACTTTACTATGTAACATATTCTGTTGTATAGTGTGGATCTGGTTTAATGAAATGGAAGAAATGCAAAAATATTTCATTTAGATAAACGATCGGTGTAAAAGTATTATTTTGAGGCCTAATTATAAAAGATTTTTAATATCTAATCACTGCCATATTTAATACATTTTGTTTTTATTCATATTTTATCGAGAAAATAGAAAGCAAAAATACTATTTATACATTTTATTTCCATGAGAGATTTACTACATTTTTGTAGTTGCAAGATTTATAATCATCTACATTAAAATATACAATTTTTATATATTAAAAAAAAGATACATTTACATTTAATTAATTGTAGTATATTTTGGTGTCAAGCACCTAAAGGGGCATTTATATATACGTATATATTCTGTAAGAATTCAACGATTTGTATGTATATCAGAATATGTTAAATGTGTAAGAGTTAATTTGTACATATTTGTATAATTTATTCTACGTATATATATATAATGTAAACATATGTAGTTAGCAATCATTCTATATTTACGCAAATGTTATGCAAATTTATACAAATATTATCAATCAAGAGGAGGAGAATATTTTATGATGTAACGTTTTAAGAAATTTAAACTTTAATATAATATAAACTTTAATATATTTTTTTTACGCTTTTGTATAGTAACAACTAATAAAAAATTATGTTGGAATAATATCATACTTGATACCATGATACATATTACTAGTATCTTCCATAAATTTTTATATCTCCTCATTTTGATTAATAATATGATAAAATTTTATGGACAGTGTACTTAACAAAAGAATTTGTTTTGTTTCTCCTAACAGAAGAATATCTCAAGAAGATTTTATTTTATATGACGTATATATATTTTTTTCGTGTAACTTTCTTGTGATAGATTTTTGACAAAAAATAACACATAACTTTTAGCAACAAATATTTGAAATTTTTACAGTGTGAAGTTACATTCATTAAATGATTCGAAACAATAAAAAAAATTTGTTTTATAAATATAAGTGTTATTTTTTAATTAAATTGTGATAAAATTTTGTTAATTATTATATGTATAAAGAAAGACATATTAAATTTCATTGCAAAGAAGTTTTACAAAATTTATGTGAAAAATATGCAGTGTAATTAATATGCATAAAATATTGTTTTGATAATTATTTATTTCTATGAATATATATTACACAGTATAAAAATTTTATTTTGAAATTCTTATTGAATATATTTTTTGTCAATTTTATTATATACTTTTAATAATTATATTTGCAAATTTGGTAGTACAAAATTGCTTACATGACATTTGTGCAAGCAAATAATAGAGTTTCTAATAAAATTATTCACTAAAAATTGTATCTGAAATTATTCATTTTAAAGTTTAGTAATATAAATAAGTGTTACAAAAACTGAATTTTATTAAAAGTATTTATTTTATAAAAATATATAATTATGGATTAATAATTTTAATAATATTAAGATTAATATTCATCAATTTGGACATTATATAGAAAATTTATAAAGTTAATTATTATTATTTTTATTATTGTAATAATTATTTTACTTTCAAAATTGTAATTGATTTTAAAAATGAGTGTACAAATCATATACTGAAAGAAAAAGGCTGAGTGAAAAACTATGTATTTCAATATATAAATTAAAACTATTAGGTTTATATATTAGTAGAGTTTAATCATGGAGTGGATGAGCTACGAAATAATAATATTTGATTGGAAAATTGTAAAATTTATGTGCCATGACATTATTTCTTTTATTCAGACTGCACTAATCTAGTTATAGTGTAAATTAGCACCGCACAATAATGCGTCTAAATATTTGGAAGTATGTGTTGATATTTGTCTCAAATAATATATCAATAATATATTTAATAAATAATATTATTAGAAATAGACAGAATTATGCTTACATGAATTATTTATTCAAAGAATAACTAAGTTTAAGAAATAACTATATAATTTCATACATATTGATGTTTTCATAAGTTAAGTTAGATTAGGGTCATTGAATTTTATCAAATTCAATTATTGCTTTTCCAAATACAAATTTATGAAAAGTAAGGTTTTCTACAAATAAGTGAGGCAATAATTATGATTTGTTTCAAATTAATAAAAATTTTTATTTAAATGTACATATATGACAAATAAAGATCATTTAGTTAAGAAAATCAATTATGTGTTGAACAACACAAAAATTATGCCATAAATATTTATTAAAACTGAGTTGAATATAAAATACAATAAATAAATTATTGCTTCATTTTATGTATTATGTGTATGTAGATTTCATTCTCAACTACAGAAATAGAATAAAAAAGTTTGCGATGTTGCGAATTTATTAAATGAAATTTTGAAAATTATGTTCTAAGATACAGTGCCTCTTTAGTTGCAAAAATTTTAATAATGAAAGTAAAAATACTGTCCAATAATATGTTAAAGGCGATGACTTAAATATATTAAATAAATCTAACCATGATATATGATATATTGCACAAAATGTGACTACAATAATTTACATTTTTTGTAAGCTTTTTTTATAATATAGAAAAATTTTGAATACGATAACGATATAAGTGCTTAAGTTCAGTAATAAAATGGTGCATGAAAATAAATGTTACGATTATGTGAGTAATATTATTATAATCATAATTTTAATGAATAAATAGTTGAATGGAAAACTACAGTGAAAATATAGAATTTACTTTAAGAATGTAATTCTTATTTATTTATATTATAAATTTATAAAACGTGATATTTCTTAATTGATGATTAAAATCATTGTCGAATAATATAAAATATAAAATAGTAAAGATATTAAAATAATATAAAATATAAAATATTAAAATAATATAAAATATTTAATATTTCATAATATTTTCGAATAATTTCAAACATTTTGTTCAATTTTAATATTGTACAAACAATAAAATAATTTATTCGTTGAATTGAATAAATTGTAACGCGATTATTATTTAAATTGTATTTGCTTTGACTTGTATCATGTATAAATTATTTTAACAAAATGATATTTCAATATATCATAAATATAAAAACATTCCGTTTATTAATTCATCACTAAAAATAATAAAATAACAAATAATATACAAAACAATACGTAATTTTTTTTGTTTTAAATCGTAAAACAGATTTTTTTTAAAATTAATCAATAGCGTTTACATATCAATGATTAAATACTTCGTACATAATTTTGTTAGAATATTATATATAATATTATATATAACATAATATATATAAAAACATTCACAACAACGTTGATCAAACTTGGTTGATTTTGGTATTGCTTGTGATTTTTTAATTACATGGAATCGAACGATATATCGATAAACAAATAACTTCGCACTTTATTATTTTTAGAATTAATATTAAACAAGTTATATATATATATATATATACACAATGAAAACTATAAATTACAACTAATTAATTCAATTACTATCTTGACTGATTATTTAACGACGACTGTAGATTGTAGACTGTTTATTAAATTTTTAACGACTGTTATATATGTCCTTGGTAATTTGTTATATCTCCTTGACACTTGTTATAAACTTCTTGGTGACTTGTTAAAAGACTGATCATTTTTCATGATCTTTCGTCTTCGAGTTTCATACAGTTGGCGCCATAAATTTACTGGAAACGTACTTTTGGACGAGACGATTGAGCGGGAATAGATGTCGCTGGAATAGATGTTGCTACACTGATGTTGTTATTTATATTGACGACATCTGGTGGAAACTTGCAATATCTACGTACGTGAAGAATAGGTTGGTTTGCTTTTGTGTTGAACGATCAGCTGTGTTTTGAAAACGTTTAAAACGTATTAAAATATTATAAACGTATAAAAATATTGCTTTTGCGTCGAAATATTGAGAGAAATGACTACGGCCGCGAGACCGACGTTTGAACCGGCTAGAGGAGGACAAGGACGTGGCGAGAAGGATTTAAGTGCAATTTCAAAACAATATAGCAGCAGAGATTTACCATCTCATACAAAATTAAAATACAGGTATTATATTTCATTTAATAATATTTATTTACTTTTAATTTTATTCAAGATCTTGTATGCAACTTTTTTGATCAAGTAAACACCTAAACACCATAACCTCACTTTTTTGCATTTGAGAAATTAATGAATTTCATTTGCAGAGAACATGGACAAGGGACGATAGAGGAATTGCGAAACCGTGATTTCCGCAAAGAATTAGAAGAACGTGAACGTGAACGTGAGAGGGAAAAGGATAAAAGTTCGAATCGTCGTATGATAGAAGCACCTCGAGAGACTTCTGCAACAAGCATTGCCAAAAGGCAAAAAATTGATCAAGTACCTACGGCAAGTTTAGATGCGGATGATCCTCTCGATGATGACGATTCAGAGTCAGAAAGTGACGAAGATGATACTGCTGCCCTTTTAGCTGAATTGCAACGTATTAAAAAGGAAAGAGCTGCAGAACAAGCTAAAAAGGTGAAGTTTCTGCATATATTTAATCTTATGTTTTTTGAAAACTTTTATTGTTCTGTTTTCTTCGTGTTCAAGGAAATGGAGAAGAGGCAGGAGGAGGAAAGAATAAGAATGGAAAACATTCTTTCTGGAAATCCTTTACTAAGTTATTCCTCTCAAAGTGGAAGAACAGATATGAAAGTCAGACGGCGATGGGACGACGATGTGGTATTCAAGAACTGTGCTCGCTCTGAACCAAAAAAGAAGCACGATGTGTTTATAAACGACTCGTTACGAAGTGAATTTCATCGTAAATTTATGGAAAAATATGTTAAGTGAACAAACTACCATAAGAAGTATTCTGTAAATAGCTTTAAGTTAGTTATCATACTATTTATAAATGTTTCGTACTGCAATTAATGATGTCAAAAAGAATTATCCTTGCAAATCTTACAAACAACTAATTTCATAAATATATATATGTTATTAAATTGTACATCTGAGCTTTCACGTATGTATTTATATACACTTGTGAAATCCATTGAATTAAAGTACAAAAAGACTAAAAGCAACCGAGTCTAAAAATAGAAGCTTGCGGATGTCTCCTCCCAATTTCAAGATCCCAGTTAAATCTCGTTTGTCTTCAAGAGTCACTTTGATAACACCGCGAAAGAATCGTCAAGATTCTTCACTATTCTTGTAGAAATAAGCGTACAAATATACGAGATAATAGAAGAGAATAGGATGAAACAAATTGAGCTAGCTTGTATCAGCCTGACGGAGATCGTTAATCGTGCGAGAAAGGAAAAAGCAGAAAAAGAAAGAAAGAGAGAAGAAACCAGTCGAGTGTGGTGGAGTTTGTTCAGGCAATGTAGATATGTGTTTCGGTAGCGGTGCGATCCGGCCTCGGCGGTAGTAGTACTGACGCGTGTAAACCGCTGGGTCAAGTATAACCGGTCCCAGGGTCCCCGGAGGCAGCAGGCAGTCTACCGGTACGACGCGCAGCTGGTTATCGCTGGTAGACTCCCTGGCACCGACCTGGCCAACTAACTAACGCAACAGGGACACACGCGAGGCCGACTCTCCGCTTGACGGAGAGACGAAGAAAGAAAGACGACCGTTTCGTTCACTGGTAGAGATCGTTTCGAGACGATTTTTTTCGGAAGAGATTTCTATCGTGCAACCGATCGTTTCTCTGCGTGCCTTGGCTGAACTCGTCATCATTTTTGCCTGCTTCTCGAATCTTCAAATTAGTTACGACATGCACCCGATCTAAATACCATTGTTGAGATTTCTTCCTGACCATCCGTGATTCTCGTAATGTTTACATTCTTTGCTGTGTTAATGGGCCATTACTTGAAGAAGTATTTTGATTATTTTATCGCAGATAGATTATCAGTGTTGTGTCGGATGTTTTCTTTTTTTTCGGATTCTTCTCTAGAAAAAGAAAAAGAAAAAAGTATGAAATTATCGTAGAGTGACGAATTTTGTAAGTTGATAAAAATTAATTGCTACATTACATGCAACAATAATAAAATTGCCTCTCGCATTTCTACATACTGAACGAACATTGATTAAGCTTCTCGGTTTTCCCTGATCTAGATTTTTTTTTTTAGAAAATGAAATTTTTCGAGAAAGAAGCGCGATTCCAACGAAACGGCAGCTGCAGATAAGGAGATAGTGTCACGTTCAAAAATGCAGAGTCCGTCGAGTTTTCTTCAAGAGGATAATCTCCAAGGGAGGGATTTCCCCGGTGAACGCACCTCTGGATTCTGCAGCGGCCGATGCTCGACGGGAATTCGCCCTGAGGGCACTCTCTCTCCCTTCCTCTCCTTCTTTCTCTTCAACTCTCTCTCTCTCTCTCTTTCTCTCCTCGCCTCCTTCTCTTTCTCCCGTCCCTCATTCCTCTCACACGCTCCTCTCTCTTCTGCCGCCATATTTTTTATTTACCTCCTATATCCTTCTATTTGTTTTATTTATTCCGTTGCTGTCGGTTGAAGCCGAGAGAAAGAGAACGTATTGAACGAGAGAGAGAAAAAAAAATGTGGGGGAGAGAGAGAGAGAGAAAACCGCATCTCTTGCTTTTCTTGAAGAATTTCATCCAGGTCTGTAAGCTATCAACATCATTTCATTGGGTGAGCCGGTGTGGTATCGAATAATGGTAATCTCTTCCCCTCACCTTCGCTGATGCTTTCAGGATTATCTCCGTGGAATTAAGATCCGAGAACATTGCGGGATAAAACGGCCGGCGATGTGTGTATCCGACACCTGTAGGAAGAACGTTGGTATGTGCTTAATGTCCCTCGTATACAACCGGTTAAGTTGTTTGCGTGACCAAGTAGAGCTTTAAGTAATATCGGTATAAAAATGATGTTGTTAGACTGCATACGTTACATGTATGTAATCCTTTACTAGAGAATATCTTTCGTAGGCCTAATTCTAGGTATTACGTGACTTCAGTGGATGATAATAATTTAGTAGATGATAAAATTCTTTTCGCAACGTGATATTTATTAACAGGCATGCTTATGCAGGCACATAATATAATATAATTTGAAATATAAAATTATAGTGGTCAAGTTGATCAAGGGTTAAAAGTAATTATATTTTTCTTTCTGTGAAATTTATAATGTGTGTTAATGAATTGATTGAATTATTTCAATAAGACTGAAATAATGGATAGGATTTCAATTATTTGTTTATAGAAATTGCTTCCTAATGCATACTAAAATTTAGAAACAACTGTTTCGCTGAATATATAATAAATCGTTAAAACTGTGCAAAAGACTCATTTACTTGGATAATAGGTGATTTCTGAAAGTAAAAACTCTCGATATCGATATCTTACGTACCTTGGAAGCCGAGAGATCGAGTCGAACATTCTTCCCTGTGTTTCTCGAAATTTTTGTGCTGTCAATCTGTCGAACCAACGAAGCAACCGTGTTGAGTAAACAAATATCTCTTACAACAAAACTGGATATATTATAAGCGTTGCGCTGGCTTTATTGGCAGATTAATGATACTACCGTCTCCGATTCGCTTTCACCGTCGTCCGCCCACCCCGACCCCTTCCACGTTATGGTCGGTTGCGTATAAATGACACAGGACTTATTTTTTTTTCCTTGCATGCACGCGTGTGTACTTCTATGAAGAATTCTCTGCAGCAAAATATGAATATTCGTTAAATCGATTTTTTCGGTCGGTCGACATCAGCCTAAATTCTTTTCTCAATTTATAGACTGCAGACACTCTCTTAACGTTTCATTTATTATAATTACGAGTTGTAACGTACATTTATGATATATAATTTGATATAATGAAGTTACATTTGTCTGTTATTTTTATAGAAACATACATGTAACAGATCTCATACATGATGTTAGAAATACAAAAACTAAAAAGTGATCAACCTATGTCTATATTACGTAAAGTTTGTGTATGTCCTATTTAGATATTCAAATAATTGTTAATTAACGAAAGGGATGTAAAATAAATTATATTCCTCGAAAAATTCGATTGTAAACAGGAATAAACGTGTAATATATTTTCCATTGTTACACGTCACAAACTTGTATATTTTATATGATAAGATTTTTAAAACAGCAATTCTCACAAAGTATGAAGGATTCAGATTCTTCGCTCACGATAACAAAATATCGAAATGTATTTCCGAAGAATAGATATCTCTTGGGGAAAAAAAGGTTGTGTACGCACCGTCTCTCGAAAGGGAACTTTCTCGCTGTAACAGTCGGTAAGTACAAATTCTACGCCGTAGAGTAAGCTCTATTTTTCTAGCTCGGGTCCCCATTGCATCCGCACAGGCCTTCAAGTGGGTTTTTCTCACGCGCGCGCTCGCCTGTCCCCGCATTCCTCGGCCCACCGGAAACGGAATGGACAGTTTTCCTGCAGAATCGAGACGAGAATTATCAACAAACGGTTATGGTAGGGCGGCAGAAATTGCACGCAACTGGTCAGTACCAGCTGATAAAGATCCAAGGGGTTGAAAAAGTGGAAGAATGTTGAGGCCCAGGTCCGGCCGCCATCGCATACCGTTTCTTCGCTAACCCTGATCTCCGGCCACCACGTTAGAGTGCCGAGTAATACCAACGATCAGGGCTGGTGAACACCGCCTACTTCTTCGGCAGGGGCGGTCCTATCTCTATGACCCAGGGACGTGCAAATGTCTTCGAAAATTCAGTGGATCAGGATTCGGAGGGAATTTCCTTTCGGCCAATCTATGTCGATCGTTTTTTTTCCCTTAAAACATTTTTTTTGTCTTTATTCCTTTTTTTATTTTTTATTTTTTATTGTTTCTTTATATATATATGTATATATATGTATATATGTGTATATATGTGTATATATGTATATATGTGTATATATGTATATATATGTATATATGTATATATATGTGTATATGTATATATATGTGTATATGTATATATATATGTATATATATACATATACACATATATATACATATACACATATATATACATATA